GCCGCCCCCCGCGCGCCGCCCCCGCTGAGCCCGCGCCCGCCCGGGCGCCGCCCGGCACCATGGTGCAGAAGTCTCGCAACGGCGGCGTGTACCCTGGCCCGAGCGGGGAGAAGAAGCTCAAGGTGGGCTTCGTGGGGCTGGACCCCGGCGCGCCCGACTCCACCCGAGACGGCGCTCTGCTCATCGCCGGCTCCGAGGCCCCCAAGCGCGGCAGCATCCTCAGTAAGCCGCGCGCGGGCGGCGCGGGCGCCGGGAAGCCCCCCAAGCGCAACGCCTTCTACCGCAAGCTGCAGAATTTCCTCTACAACGTGTTGGAGCGGCCGCGCGGCTGGGCTTTCATCTACCACGCCTACGTGTGAGTGCCCACCCGGGCGGCGGGCGCGGGTCGCGAGGCACCCGGGCGATCGGCCGCTGGTGGCCCGTAGGCTCACAGCTGCGGGCTACGAGGGCCTCCGTGTGTGTCCGAGCGCCCGCGTCAGTCACACCGTGTGCCTGGGGTACCTTGGTTCAAGAGAAGGGCAGAGGTTGGAGAGCGATTTTGGAGACGTCTGGTTGGAAGGAGTTCTGGGGTCGGGGTGGGGGCGCCTGTCCCCCTCTCGCGCCCGCCAGCGGCCTGGTTGGGTTGCATCAGTCCCTCCCCCGCAGGATGGGGAGATGTGCAGCGCCCCAGCCTCCCCTCCTCAGCCCTGAGAGGCCCCTCCCCACGGCCACTGCACCGAACAAAGGGCCGACCAGGGAGGGAGGGCGGCGCTGCCCGTCCTGTCACTGGATCTGGACTCCTAGAGGGCCCCCTCTAGATGGGTTCCCTCAAAGAAGGGGGAATGGGGGGAGGGGTTGGCCCTCCTTCTAGGGTGCGCTTCTGGGGTGCTGCAATGGCGGAGGGGTCCCGTCGTTACTCTCCGCCCCCAGCCGTGGGCTCAGGGTAGATAGTTGGCTGTTCCTGCCCCGTGGTGCCTGCACCCACCCCTGGCCTGGCCTGCGTCGCCCCCCCCCCCCCCCCCCCCAGCACAGCCTCGAGCCCCTGCCGCGGCTCGCTGGAGGAGCAGGTGCATGCCTGATGCCCCTGCGCGCGTTCTGGGCTCCAGACCCCCTTTATTGCAGAGTGGACCCCCAGGAAGAGGGGGGCCGCCAGCCCTGGCCCTGGGAGGGCTGTCGGTGGCCCTGGGCCCGTTGTTCAGGGAACTCCTGGCTCCTGCGCCAGGGCTGGTGGCCACAGGCCGGCATTGTGTGCACACGGGTGTTCGAGCGTGTGGGGTGTGTGTGTGTGTGTGTGTGTGTGTGTGTGTGTGCACGCGCGCCTGTGCTGGTGGCGAGCACAGCCTCTGAGCCTACAGGCGCTATCTCCCATCCCAGCTAGACTGGGCCCAGGACTCGGCCATTTTGTGAGAAAGAGGCATTTGGGGATGGGAGTGAGGGGTGGATTCTGGGAAACCGTCTCCGACCAAGTGCCCACCTGGGATGAGGGGGTGTGTGCCCGTGAGTGTGCCTGTGACCTGTGAGTGTGTGCTCTGGACGGACCCTCTGTGGGTGGGGGAGAAGACCCTGGGAGGAAATGCCAAGCTGCTGGAGGGATAGGTGTCCTGGGGGTCACCACAGCCCTGGAGGCCTCCTGGCCACTGTCCCCAGCCCCAGCGCTGAGCCACCCCGGGAGTCCCAAGAGGCAGAGGCTCCCCTGGCACTGTGTCAGCCCCCGCCTGCCCCAGGGAGGTGACCTGGTTCTTCCCGGGGCGGACATGCCCAGGTGCGCTCTTCCTCCTTGGAAGAGCCCTGTGCCTCCTCTCCCTGCCGGGCGGGGGCCAGCTCTGGTCAGCCAGGTCCTGGCCCGAGGTGGCCTCTGGTGTCTGGGCACAGCCCAGCGGCGCCCCCACTCCTGTCTGACCTGCGGTGCGGCTGCTGGAGGGTTCGCTGTGCTTTGGGCACGAAGGTCCCCGCCGGCGGCACTTCCCGGGGTCCCCTCTGTGTGGCCTCTACCTGCCCAGGCCCGAAGTGGCCGGCCCCTCCGTGCGTCCTGCGTCCTGGAAGCTGCAGCCTTCAGAGCTGGGAACGGAGTGTGGGGACTGGGGGCCAGGCAGCTGCTCTCGGGTGTGGGTCTGCGTTGCCCCCGCCTCGGGAGTGCCCGAGTCGGGACAGGTGGGCCAGGGGGTCCAGGGGCAGTGTGTGAGGGTCCAGGGGCAGTGAACGGGGCAGAGCTGCCCTTGCCCCCAAGGCATTGTGGAGGCCACCGCGTGGGGTCTCCACCCTCCCGGCGCCGGCCCGGGGGTGCTCCTGAACGGCGACATCTCTGTCCCGCTGTTGCTGCTCATCGGTCACCCCCCGGCTCCCCGGGCCTGGAATTCACTAGCTGTCCCCAGGCCCAGCCCATCCTTGGGCCCAGCCCACTGGACTCAGGAGGGCTTCACTGCCCCCATATGCTGGTCTCCAGTGGTGCGGCCTCCCCTGTGCACCCCCCGCCCCCCAGCAGGGACTGGCCCTCATCTGTTTGGTTTGTTGATTAAACCAGTTCAAGCCTCCTGAGCTGGGCCTGGGAGGGGCAGTGGGGGCCGGAGTGGTCGCGGGGCTGGGGCAGCTGCCCTCCTGGGCCACCTTCCAGCAAAGCCTGGCTTCTGGAAGGCAGAGGTGTGCTGAGCCCTCTGGGTGTCAGAGGCGGGGAGGGAGGTGGCTGCCCTCTGGCCCCCGGGCTTTGCGCGCATCAGGCCAGGTGCCCCTGCCCTTTGCGGGCGGGCTGTCTCCATGGACGTGCCTCTGGGCCTGGAGCCATCGCCATCACTGCTGCTGCCTGTGGGGGCGGGAGGCTTCCCTGAGTCAGGAGGATCCTCGACCAGGCTGAGGGGAGCCCGCCCGGGCCCCCCTCCCAGCCCCGAGGCCCCTGCAGCGTCCCTTCCTCTGCTCTGGCTGGAGAGGGAGAGCAGTCCCCGGTTGGGCAGGTCCCCGCCCCGCATGGCTCTTCACCTAGACCTGGCCGGGATTGTGGGCGGGCAGGCTGGTGTCGTCCGCAGTGAGTGGGGGCCCTGTCGCGAGGAGCTGGGCCGTGTGGGGTGGGGAAGGGGTGCATCTCAGCTCACCATTGCCTGCCCTTCACAGCCCCAGGCAGGTCTCGGGGCTCCGAGGGTCTGTGCACCCCTAGAGCAGGGCATCTTTACACGAGAGGATTTTCTAGCTACGGTCTAGGGTTTTCATGAGTTTCTCAGAGGGGGTGTGAGCCACAGAAAAGGCCCCCAAACACTTCAGGATGCGTGTCCAGGCCAGTGGGGCCCCAGGGGCTACTCATCTGCTTCAGGCGAGCCCTTGGGGGTCCTTTGAGAGCCTGGGTTGGGTGCGCGGCCCCCTCCCCTCACCGGTGGGAGCGGCAGCTGCTCCACCATGGTGAGGGGGTGGGGGGTCTCCCCGAGGCTCGAGTTAGGAGGGGAGGGGAACCGCACGTCTTCTGGGCCGGCCCGCTGTCCGCTGGTCTCAGGGCTTCCTCACTTTGTGGCCCCATTTTCACTGCTGAGGAAACCGAGGCTGGGACGGTCGAGTTCCTGAGTTGCCCCACTCACGCTGGACAGAAGGGGCCTCGGCCCAGTGATGGGAACTTGGGGTGCAGATCGGTTGACTTTTCCAACATCCAAAAGCCACTTGGAGTTGCCGGGTGAGACTGTGTTTGAAATCGGTGGGATGGAAAATGCCGGTGACTGCAGGGCAGGGACTGGCCCCTGGAGGCCGGGGCTCGCCTGAGCGGCTCACTCTTGGGAGCTGCCTTCTCTCGGGCTAGTCCACGAGCCCCCTCCGTCCTCGGATGGCGTCCAGGTGGGTCTCGGGGGGCCGCCGACATTTCGGGGCCTGTGGCTGGGGGCAGCGGGATGGGGGCCTGGGGCCTCAGGGCCCAGCTGCAGTCCCCTGCGTGGCCTCGGATAACCCACGTGCAGGCCGCCCGCTGCCCCCTCTCACCTGTCCGCCCTCGGGTGGGCAAGTGTGGGCCCACGTGCTGGCCTCTCTTTTCCTCGGTGTGACTGCACTTGGGGGGCGTGGGGGCCCCAGGGCAAGTGGCCCTGGGTGTCTGCTTCTGAGAGGAGACTGGGGTCTGAATGGCTGTATTCTCAGCTTCTTGCAGCTCCCAGACCTCGCTGCAATCCTGGGGAGGAAATGTCTATTGATTGAAGAGTTGGAGAATCTTATGGAAATTTCCCCAAAGGTGAAAACGGTAGGAGGGTTGTGGTTTCCACGGAGACCAGGGCTCAGTAGACTGTCCCCAGTCGGCTGTCTGGAGACCTCAGGCCTCATCGTAGGATTTCTCACCCACAATAAGACAATGAAGTGTTTTTTAATGAAGTGTTTCTTAATCACGGTGTCTAATTACACTGTCGTGAATCCCGCAGATGGTCTGTGTCCTCAGGGTGATGGGGTCGCTAGGAAGCTCCGTGCTTGACAGTTTCACAGATCAGAACAAAGAAAAATCTGTTTTGTTAGAAACCAGTACAAGTCAAACATTGAAACTAGTCTCTACGGAGACTCGGCGGGGGGCTTCGACGTGGGCACCGCCTCGGAAAACACCTAAACCCAGAACGATTGTGAAGAGACCGGATTGTTTCCAGGAGCGCAGCCCGAGCCTGGTGGTGGATAGAGCGTCTCAGGGGGTTCTTCCCGGTCCGTTTTGGTCAGTAAGTGAATCCTAGGCTGTGTTAATCCCCGCGCGTCTGCGTGTCCACGGTGAGGCCCGGGGTCTGCTCCTGGCCACCGCTCACAGGCGTCCTCAGTCCGTCCTGGCAAGCCCGCCAGGCTGCCCCCACCCCCGGGAGCTGCGTTCTGAATGCCCCGGAGAAGGGACAGGCTCCAGAGGACCGAGAGTTCTCTGGGGCCTTTCGTGGAAGGTGCTGAGGGCCAGGATGGCGGTGGGGGACCCCGCGGAGGGCCGAACCTCCGCTCGGCACGACAGGGCGGGACGTGCTGCAGGCACTGCGGGCTTGCGACCCTTTCCTTGTGGGGGACGGGGGTGGGGTGGGGCTGGGGGCCAGGCCTGGGGCTCACGATGCTGGGTCGGCCCTGGGCTGCAGCCTTCTGCCCCTTCCTGAGCCAAGGCTTGTGAGAGACCTTGGCCTGTGTCCGGCAGCCTCATTATAAACCGTGCTGCCTGGGTCACCTCGTGGGCGGGTCATCTGAAACGTTCTCGAGTGTAAACGGAGGGCCTTTCCTGCATGGAGATCGCCGGGTACGTGCCTTAGTCACGGACGTCACCTCGTCACCCCCACGCCCCATCAGGTGTGGTGTGAGGTTATAACCAGTGATGGTTCAGGGGGCGCGCGTGGGCAGAGGACGGTGAGCCGTGGGGACCGTGGGCTCTGCGGGGGCCTGGCAGGGAATCCTGCCTTGGGCCCGGTG